TTATTGTTCTTATATTGCCCATGCCTCGTATCATACAGCTCTGGGCAGGCTACCTCAAGTTCTACAAAGAATTCAGTGCCCACTTCAGCCATCATGGTTCCTATCTTCACAAATCTCTCTCTCCACAGAACAAGGAAGTCCAGGGGTGATGAGATCATCCAAACCAGCCAAAAAAAATGTTTTTCCCCCCATTGCATTCCGTTTTTGACGCGTTTGTGCGCATTCCGGTAAGGACCAGACAAAGTGTGACACACAGTACTTTTTTGGTTTGATCGGGAACTGACTGCGATGGTGTGAACTGAGGCCAAGAAGAGCACAGGGAAACATTGGGATGCATTTTAGGTCCAGAAACAGTCTGGTCTGGAGGTGATGTGAATAGGCCCTTATCCAGTAACATGATACAACACCCCACCACCTTCTTTGTCAGCAGATCTTATAATCAGATGGGTTTTTTCCATTAAATCCCAAACTCCTTTTGAGCAGCAAAGCTTCTCCTTTTCTTTCCTTTTGACTTCTAGTTTTTTAATATCATCTAGAATCATTTCTTTGAAAGTGAAAAACAAGTGAACGTATTACCATCACTGGAAGGGTTCAGTAGAGAAATACATTAGACAACTACCTATAGAAAATACATACTTCTTTGTAACAATGGGGTTTGATAAAAAATATTTAAGGCTTCAAGACGCCGACCACAGGGCATAGCAAGGAGGAACATTGCTGATTTTTTCCCAAAATCAGTGGAATGCTCTGCAGAGACATAGGAAGATAAGATGGCACAGGGCTGCAATCACAAACAGACCCTCTCTTTGATGTCTCCAGCGGTCTTGCTGCTGTCTGATGTAACAGACCAGGAATTAGGCAGTAATCTTCAGCAGATGCTTTTGCCAATATCACCCCAAGCATCACTTACAGCATCTCCAGCTTCAGATATGACAGACAGGGAGCAAGAGACTGGGCTGTCTAGTGATGGACTGGAGGAGGGAGATATCCCACAAGCCTTTCGTAAGTACTTTGGTCTATTACCAACTAAATGCGATATTGAGCATATGTTTCCCAAAATGGAAAGGGAATAGAAACAAGATATAAAGGATCTGAGGGAAATTTTGTAGCAGTCCCATACTTGTTTGAGTGCTGTGGAGACTTCTCTTACACCTTTAACTGCTGAAATGGAGAGACTAAAACAGATTACTCACCAACAGCATGGTATCCTCCAATCACTCTGGACTCAAATAGATGACATGGAGGATAGGAATAGGAGGAATAACCTTTGCGTCCGGGGTTTCCCATAGACTATAGGTCCTGAAGATCTAAAGACATCTATTGTAGGGATTTTTAACACTTTGCTGCATTGCCTTACTATAGAACCGATCAAATTTGATTGCATACATAGACTACCAACACTATATAATCCCAAATTCTGATACCCAAGAGATGTCTTCGGCAGGATCCATTTGTTCAATATTAAAGAAATCATTTTACAGAAAGCACAGGTGATGGGAAATGTGGAGTGGGATGGAGTCCGGATTAAAAGTTTCCTGGACTTGTCGCGCAGAACTCTGGCGACGGGCATTGACTAGACCACTCCAGGAGGCAAAGATTCCCTATTGGTGGGGATATGAGGTTTTAGGGGGTGGAGGGGAAGGGAGGTTGAGGGGGAAGGGGGAGAAGTCTTATAATGACACTGGTTTTTGAAAATCACACGTATTGCCCTTGATTGTACTCATGGGAAGCTAAACACATAGACTGGCCTGAAATTGCATGAAAGTTTATGTATGAACAGGGCCGGACTGGCCATTGGGGATACCGGGCACTTGCTATACCCGATGGCCTTCTCTGTGCTCTCTGGTCACTGGAGCTCTCAGAACGAACAGGCATAGCAGACACAGAATGGAGCCGCCCCACCCCCATCACCAGCGGACATCAGACGGCTGCCCAGACCGATCCGGGAGGACTGTGCAGGACACTGTGCTGTGCCTGACTGAAATCACATTATTTCATGGAATTATTACCAGGCACTGAGGAGGGATACACCGGTAAAACACCAAAGGAATACAGTGTCCTGAAGGGAGACACACGGGGGGGCAGACTGAGGGGACACATGGACAAGACTGAGGGGGACATGGGGCTAGAATGAGGGAACACATGCACCAGACTCAGGGGGGACACAGGAGCCAGAGTGAGAGGTGACACAGGGGCCAGACTGAGACATGTCCCCAGGGCTGGTATGGGGGTCATGGCTGAAGGTGCTAGGAGGCTCCTTGTATGGCTGATTGTGAGTATAGCGTCGAGGTTGCTACCACTCACTCCTACTCTTGGAAACCCATTGCCTTTCAATAAGTTTGCTAAGCTAGACATCAACTGAAAAGTCCACCTTTGGGATTTTGAGGACAGGCTGTGCCAAAGACAACTAGTCAACTTTACCAGCTCTGGAGGCAACGGATACTCAATAAGACCATTGTAGAAATGGGTAATATTAATATATGGGTGATTTATATTTTTTTCAAGGGTTCCTGCTAACATGGACCCTTATTTATCCTATACCTGCTTGTCCCTTATAGAACCTATACTGTATGCACCACCTATAGAGTCTATACTATATATGCTGTATATACAGAGCTCCTGTAATTAGGCAGCTGGCTTCACCCCTTGATTGTGCTCTGCTTGGCCCCACCCCCAGATTGCAACAGGGTGGGGCCTGTTGGGGGTCATGTGATTGGGCTGCTAAGTCCAAAACGCCCGGACCTATTTTTTTATCCTAGTCTGGCCCCGTCGGTGAGTACTTGAGGAAAAGTATTGGTACTCGGACTCAGTCTGGAAAAAGTGGTATCGGTGCATCCTTAATTATTACCGATGAAGATGATGCAGGGTTTGTAAAGTGGATGAGGAGAATAAGAGACCTTTTGGGTCAAATCTAGAATCTGTAGAATGGAGTTTTAAATTACTTCTTTCTTTTTGTGTCAGACCACACCATCACATGTATGAGAATTTTAATGATTTTACAACTATATTGCAGGAGGAGGATGCGCTTTTGTATAGTATTTTGACAGCTTTTCGCTGTTGAATGAAGAATTATGAGGACAACCTTTACATAAAAATAAAAGAGAACTTTCAATTTTCTATGCATATAGGTCATGTTTCTGCTTCGTTATAGATAGGACCCAAAGTCTGACTGTTCTTCTCTAAGCACTTTGGCTGTCAGATTCCTTTCCATTGTCATTCAGAAAATATACCTAGAAACTTGAAGGGGGAATTTTTGACATGATCTGCACACTAAAGGGTAAAGGATGGTCAGTTTGGCTGGTCAGGATCAACAGCGTGGAATTAAGCAACGCCTGACTCTGCTAGAGGGGTGAGTAGAGTTTGTGCCCCTCGCCTCTTTAAATAGTAATTCCATGTCTGTAGTAAAATTTGAGACCCACCCCCCCACTATGTTTGTTATGTATTCACATTCATACACTATCTAAAAAGTAATAATTGTTTCTTTGGATCAGGTTTATATGTAGAACTATATAGTCAGCTTTATTGCTTAGAATAGAGGGCAGTGTGCCGATAAGGGATGGACCGAGCATCAACAACATACAATGAACCACTTAAAAGTGACATTCAACTCAGGAGTTACATTTTAAAATGCATTCAACTACCCCAACTATTAACAAAAATGTATTTTATTTGTGTATCACTCAGCTGTAGATCTTCAATCATCTCTGAATTGGTGCTGACATTGTCTTTCCTTCTGGAGTGTGGCTACTTTTGCTCTCCATGGTCCCTGTGTGTGTTGGAAAGTAGTCACCGCTCCAAGCTCACTCCTGTAATGGACTACAATCTTACGTTCAGTTTTCTAATTTGTATTGTATTGAGATTGTAGTCCATCATAGATCTTTGAGCGGTGACTACTTTACCACACACACAGGGACCATGGGGAACAAAAGTAGCCACCCTCCAGAAGGAAGGACAGTGTCAGCATGAATTCAGAGATGATTTGAGGATCTACAGCCGAGTGATACACAAATAAGATACATATTTGTGACTAGTTAAAAGGAACTTGAATACATTTTTAAGGATCTAACTCCTGAGTTTAGTGTCACTTTAATGGAAACACAGAATTAAACTTTACCAAAAAAAAATATTTTATATATATTGTACAGTATGATACATTACATTGTGCTCATTAACCCTTTATTAGGACAGATCTGCCAGCATAGGGCAGACAGGGTTAATTTTGATAGACATAACTCCCAATCCTCCTCACTCACATTATATACAAGGGGGAAGCTAAATAGGATTTTCCAGCAAGGATTTTCCTTTAGAACCGCACCACTCTGCATGCTGGCCAGGAACAAATTAAATATGGAACCACCTTCCCCCAGGAAAAAAAAACAAACAATCAGCTTCACCATCCGTGTAAAACATATCAGTCATAACACTGTAACCCCTAAAAACAATTGGAAGTCCCATATGTGTCATCTCGGAGCCCTCTGAAATGTAAATACCAGGTAACAATGGTGTATATATTCAACAAGCGCATGTAAATAAAGATTTCAGAGTTGTAATGAGGTCACGGGGCGAAAGCCCTCATGTTCTTTTCATATTGCTGTACTACATAAGGGATGCAGGTTTTATACAGGCAGTGAAGCTGATTGATTTCTGAGGGGTTTCTTATCCCAATTTGGCTGCCAAAGTGGAAATATATTTTATGTGATCAGACATGTTACAATCTGATTGTACAATTCCCTTTACATTTACCTTAAAATTGATTGTACTGGCAGATTGTAACGTATATGGTGAGCCTTTGAGAGCGCTCCAGCAGAAGTTGTTAGCAGCAAATCCTGATGGTGGACAGCGCCAGAGATGGCAGACATTTCTGATTGAGCTAGTGAGGATTTATTTCGTGGCAGACATTTCTGATTGAGCTAGTGAGGATTTATTTCGTACAATACATTAGAATGATTAAAAAGGGCTGTCAGCCATTGCATTGTAGAAGGTAAGTGTCTGCCCTCCAGTCACTGTCCTCTTTTCTTGCCATCTGATTGTTTCATCTCTCCTTTTATCTCCTTCATGCCAGTCCTGAGCTCCTTCATAAACGTGTCCCTGACCCTGTCCATCTTGCGGGCCATGTCCACCAGGTTCCGGGGGGCGCCGTCCTGGGTCATCTGTCGCACAGTGTCGGAGCGGAGCACACGCTGGGCTGCGTCCTTGCTGGCCAGCTGAGCCTTGGTGACGGCGAAGGCAGTGATCTGGGCGGCCCTGCGGATAGGCCGAGACTCGGACAGTTTCTCGATCAGCTGAGGGTTGTTCAGGAGGTTATAGAGAAACCGACGAAACACCATGGCTGCTTGGCTGAGTCGCCCTCCTGTGGCCGGGCACGGGGCTCAAAGGTCGCTGGTGGACCACAGATAGCGGAGCCCTAAATGGAGAGATAAGCGGTCATTGAAGGACAATTAAAGCCACACACAGCGTCCCACGCTATCTACTTTACCTGCCTGTTATAATGCTCTTCCCGTCTTATACAACGATTTGCCCTCCTTAAAGATGGCGGAAGAAGTTGCGGAAGTAATACCGAGTACCTTCTGTTTATTGGTTCACCTCTGACTTGCTCGTCACAATGCTCTTCCCGTTTAACCCCTAACAATTATTTGCCCTTCTTAAAGATGGCGGAGTTTGCTACGGAAGTGATACCGCGTACTTTCTGCTCATTGGTTCGCCCCTGCCGCAATTCAAGAAATCGTGTTAGTGCTGTTGCGCGGCGGCGGCCGGGGTTCTAGAGAGATCGAAGAGATGATCAGCGCTTTGAAAAGCGACTCCTATGTGGAGTTAAGCCAGTACCGAGACCAGCATTTTAAGGTGAGGGGGCCGAGTGATCTCGACATGTGTGTGTGGTACTGTGTATAGTAGATAAATCCTATATGGGCGAAGTCCCGAATGTAGACCGCCCGAGAGGAGGGTCTGCTAACTTGTGGTCTACTCACCTCTATCACAACGGGGGTCAGATTAGGAGCTTTGATCTACATGATTGTCTCAGGCCAGTTTCTCCAATATTGACCACCAGGGAAAGCCAGGTAGAGAGCATTTTCACAGGAAGGTCAGCAACAGCCTGCTTGTCTCTCACCACACTAGACCACTTTAAAGGGCACATGTACTTTGAGCACACTTATCCTACAATACAGGAACCCACCGCTGACCTGTCCACAATCAATGGAGCTCTTCCCTATGGGGCTGCACAACCTATTGTAGTCTCCAGGACAGTCCACACAGGAACAATCTGAACTTGTTTCATCATCCGTATGGGTGTAACATTAAACACATACCCAGCCTTTAAACTTTTATAAATATTGAGTCCACATCAAACAAATATACATTGTCTAGCAAAGTATTTCTTTATATTGTCTCCCAGTCATCATGCTTCTCAACAGCTCCAACTCTTCCAGCTCCACTTCCCTGAACTGCCTGACCAGTACAAGATCACAAGTCTCCAGCAACTTTCCATCTACTGGATTGGAGAAGGGAGAGCAGAGGAGAGGCTTGCATTGCTGTCTTTGTGGAGATACACAGTTTACTAACACACACGGGTGGCTCCATAGGACCCTGTAAGGGAAAGGAGTCCTCCTAAAACAGAATACAAGGGCCAGTGCTCAGGGGACCAGCAGATTCTGAAGGAAACAAACATTTACACATTAACTAGCATCCATTGTAGGAGATCTCATCAGCATTTAAAATAGCTTATAAATGTTTTGACTTTAATATCACTAACACTGAAGTGGTGTTTTTTTTGGGGGGGGGGTGGGGGGGACAGCACCAAACACATTAGATATGTAATGGTCACAAGTGATGAGGAAGCATGGAGCCGGCTTCACGGCCAATCGGGAAGCCGGGCTCAGCACTGATGCTAGTATCGGTGCATTCCTAATTGTAACCGTTTAAGACTAAATGTCCAGATTCTTCTATAAGTCTTGTTCTGGCTGGTCGTCTTTTTTTTTTAGGTGGTATGAGAATATGTCCAAAGGAAAATGTTGCTCCCCATTAGTGGAACAGCCACACTGTAAAGGCTAGTTCACACCAGAACTGTGTGCGTCCACGCAGCTGCAATGCAATGGATGAGGGTTATTTGGGGGTTGAGGCTTGCTTAAAATGGGATTTCAGATGTGTTCCAGTGCATTTGCATGCATTTGTGATGGGTTCCCTTGCAATCCGATGCAGCTAAAATAGGCCGAGCAGTATTTTTTATAACTGCATCGGAACAGACTGCACTTGTGTGACTAGAGCACCAGAAATCCCATAGGAAAGCTTTGTGATGTATTCTGGCTGCAGCAGCCAAACTGAACGGACTGCATCACAATAGTGAACTAGCCCTAAGGGCCTCTTCACACGACGTCCGTTTTGTGTGCTGACCTGATCCGTACGCTCCTGCACGCAAAATGTATCCCTATGTGTTTTATGGGCTACAGTTCTCACGTGCGCAGTCCGTTCAGCTTACGACCGAAAAATACTGCATGTCACATTTTGTACAGTCAGGAAACGCAAACGTGTCAAAAACGCACTGCAGCTAACATACTAACAGCCCCACTGGAACGCATCAAAAACGCGGCCAAAACGCACTGCATCAGTATCACCGCGTCTGCAGATCTGGACCTGATCAGGACCTGAAACTCATGTGAACAGGCCCTTAAAGAGACTTTTTTTTTTCTGTGCTATGATTAGAGTTGGGTTATGTGTGGAAAAAAAGTGTGGCATGTTTTAAGAGCAGATGATGTTGGTGGGTGGGCATTTTACAGTAATAGTTTTCTTTACAATAGAATAGGAATTTACTTTCCATGTGTTTTTTATTATTTATAGATATATACGTGTGTGTGTGTGTGTATATAATACAGGGGTGTGGACATTTTTGAAAAAACTACTTGTCCAAGGGCTAAAGCGGGGGCCAAATCTACTTGTCCTTCATAACAATCTACTTGTCCTTCATAACAATCTACTTGTCCCAATACAAAAAAAAATAGTTTTAATTAAAACTAGGGATGCACCAATACCGGTTTTTGGGTATAGAGTACCGATATTTTGCTTTCGGTACTCGCCGAGTATCGGTGCTTCCGTTTGCATGGAGCAAGCTTCCCGGCAATCAGGAAGCCGGGCAGCGGGTAATGAGATGCTACCCGGCTTCCTGACTGCCAGGGAAGCCGACTTCATGTTTGGCCAGCTTGATTGTGAATGGCTGGGAAGCTGGCTTCCCAGCCAATTGGCTGGCTTCCTGGCCAATCAGTGCAATCCTGATTGCACGGGAAGCTGGCTCCATGTTCCCCTCCGGCACTGCCGGTCAGAGGAAGTCCTTCCTCTGACCAGAAGTTCAGGTATTGGAGAAGATATCGAGCATTTGGGCGAGTACTAGTACTTGCCCAAATACTCTGTATCTGTGCATCCTTAATCAAAACTGTATTGGTCTGTGCTAAACAGCGCTTCTCAATGAGTGCTTGCAATTTGCGAGCGAAATTCAAAATGCATAGGGCAGGACTGCGCTGGACAGTACGGGGTAAGGACAGTACACCTGTACCGGCGGAGGGTAAGGACTGTTTGCCGAAATGTAAGTATAGCCGGGGGGTGGGGGTTTTGGGAGAGACGGGGCCAGATTTGATCGGGTAATTCCATTTTCCCATATTACCTGGGAAAGTGAACTTGCCCTTTAATGCACATTGTGCGTGTGAGAGTTCTGCTGCCTCGCTACCACAATACGGCACAGTGAAATGGCGGCAGCACTCAACGCACACACACAATGTCCTATGCGTGCATTTTTTTGCAT